CACCACAGAGACGAGCCTCCAATGCAAGACGATGTTGAAATGTGATTTATTCTTCACTACTACAGCGCGCGAGAAAGATCTTTATGGAAACTGCAGAGTATCGAAGACACCGTTCCTCAACCAAATAAATGATTACCAGAAGTTTAGTGAAATAACTTCGTCCGACAATCAAAGTGCTCAAATCGTGGTGTTATGTATAGAGATTGCACGCGGTCCACATGTTGTTGCGTGTTGGTAGAGTCGATCCTTCTTGTAATTTTAAAACAACTGTGAGAGCGTGAGTTATGCGGGGTATTCTTATCCCAAATCAGTGTGGGTAACATTTTCATGACTCCAAAGAGATGAATGTCTTGAGGGGCGGGGACGGGTTTGGACCACTGCCCGTGTTAGTCCCATCGTCCACTTAATAAGAGGGATCATCAGCACTACGGTACTTTCCTTTTATGTAAATCTAGTTTGATCTAAATTCTGTTTATGATATGACAGTTAGGAATTTATTACGAGGTCCTTTTAGAGTTTCCTAATGACAAAACTGGCCAATATTTTTGTTACAACGTAATAAAAGTTTTCATAGATACTAATGCAAGTATCATTCATTAATACATTTCACGTAACTACGTCTTTCAACGTTGTGATGTATATGTATATTCCTGTGGTTCTAATCCAGATAAATCTTCTGTATAGTCTTGCCTTTGTTGTTAGTTACGAAGTGAACTGCTTATACAAGCTGTGTCATATCTCTTGTGTCGTATCATGTGAGGCATGCATTGGTTGAATAGACTCAATTATTTGTGCGTTTCCACACAAGAAAAATCTTACATATTCTGTGAAAATTCTGATAATTTGGTTGATGTGATTCAAGTATCTTTTTTGGGATGGAAGTGTTGAATAATCAAGTTACTCTCCTCACCAACTTCGAGGTCTTACAAGTTCTGAATGAGGTTAAGAAAGAAGAAAGCAAGAAGGCTAAAAGTGACATGAGCAAGCACTTAACAACCTTAGTATACGAGGTTTGTCAATTCCACCTGACGAGTTTTCACGTTGTTGATGCTTGAATTTTACATTGTGTACGTTGTTATTGTAGGCCAAAAAATATCTTAATGGTACTCCAGCCGCAGTTCAAAACAGTGAGGTTGTCGAAAAACTTATTGAAGAAGTTAGTCCATATAAGGTGAGATGAAGTATCTGGTCACACAGCATTATTCTAATTAGCAACTGAAATAGTAGTAGGGAACAGAGCCGGTACCAATCATAAGGTGGCGCAGACGCTATCACGTTTATATTGGGATAGGGGCCCCGTAGCCAACTGGTTCTGATGCTCGTCGCGGCGCGCGTGGAGTCGTATCCCCCTCCCTACACTCTCCGGCAGTCAACAGCGAACACCCTGTGAGTCGCTACAACCAGGCTATCCTCGAGATTGGAGGGAGACGCGCTGAGCAAGTATTCTGCGACGTTTAAGAAGAAGTAGAAGAACTAACTGAATGCTAGAAGTACTGGGAGCCGCAAAGTGAAGAAAAATTATGTGAATACGGATAATAAGAAACTAATATTGAGATATGCGTTATACATTGTGCAGGTGTACTCACTAGCGACAACTAATTTATTGTCTTTAGTTGACAGCTGCGGAAACGTTGCAGTTGATAAACCTTCGTCCTTCAACGACAACTGAGGTACTCTTTCATGTATTTTCCGATTCGTGTTCATAAGTTCGAAGGACATTTCATATTCCTGCTTTTATTTTTTCGTTTTAGGTTCAATTAATTGTAGAAGAAAGTGAAGAACGAATGAAAACAGAAGAGAGACTCGAGTCACTCGTGAACGTGAGCCTAATTCTTCCGTTTCGAACATCTCATCACAGCTATGAATTTTACATTACAGACAGTGATCCGATGCCTTCCTGCGTTGCCAGTCAACAATGTGACTCAGTAATGCCTAATTTACTTAGTATTTATATGTGTATGGGTATTTGTTTTGCACAGTATAGATTCTGAGCCGGTTACTGACCTTTACTTGTTTACTTCCTTGTTTTTAGCATCAAATTTTCCTTCGTTCTTGCTTTTTTCGTAGATGTTCTGTGTTACAATCTGTGGATTTTTTAAACAATATTTGCATACATAATCGTTTTTGAGCAGTTACTAGGGATTTAACATGTTTATATCTCCATGTGAACTCAAAGCTGTTATAAATGTCCTATCCGTTTAATGTTTTGATGCATTTGTCCTCTTCAAAGCGCCATGGATCTTAGTCAGTGATCTACACTTCCGCTCATCTTGACAATCTAGTGTTTGTGTATGGAGCAGCGCTCGATCGAACTAAAGTAGAAGAATGAAGTCTGAGTTGTAGAATCTGATTTGTATCCTGATAAGATAGTACTGACCATAGTTAGATCGTTTATTGTGGGAGTTTGAAAACTTTTAGAAATGTCTCAGGGATTGGGAGGTTGAGTCAAGTTTTGTAAAGAGCTCAGCTCGTCTATGAAGCAGTAGTTCTAGTGGGTTCCGCGCATCTCTCGAGATATCTTAACCTTTTTTCGATTGAAATGAAGAAGAATTCTCGGCACTCAGAAGAAGGAAATGTGAGAGATAACTAGGATCCCATATCTTTTGAGTTGATGGTGGTCCCTCATTACTGCGAACATTTCTGTTGTGCTAAGGACTGTTCACATCAGATCCAAAGAGTTCAACATCGACAAAAGGCCAAAGGAAGCTCAACAACTAAAACTCTATAAGAAAAGTCATGACTCGTAGTTCATCCCCTTTCTAGGCCAATCCAGTCTGTCATTCTAGGGTTCGAGAAATTCGTACTTGTTTCTTGTCCACAAAGGCGATCTGTAGTTAATGGTGAAGATTTGCAAGCACTTCGGTTGAGCTTTCAGAAGATTCAATGAAAAGTCAACTTGACTGGCATTCTACAACGTTTATGAGGAAGACAAGATTTCTTCAAAATACTGTAACATGAGAGCGATTGGAAGACTGATGATTTTATATCTTGAGCTTGAATATCTTATATTTGTTCCCACAACAGTGCGCGCTTGCACGTTTGCATTGAAGACCTCGCTCTTCACTTCTTTTAGCCACGCTTCAACCCGTTCAGCCCCCCTCCCTCTCCACCCTTCGGAACGGCATACCTTTTTGGATATACGTTTATAAGAAAGCCTTGCTGGCTGAACAGAATTTTTTCACTTGAGTTCCACTTATTATTCAAAAAGTCAAATCTCGGCGGTGTGATTATTGCGCTTAGTTTCCTAGAAGGTCTTCGTAATGCGTTGTACCAACGAAATATGCTTCACATTTGACTTGCTGGCAAGTTCTTGCCGTACTTCTAGAGTCATTCGATAGCTGAAAACTCGACAAATTTTGAAGCTAAAATGGAATTTTGGAAAGAACTTCATGTAGCGCTTCGCTTAAGAGCGAAAGGAAGATTTCGTTTCACATCCAAAGTGGTCTGCTCGTCGCTTGAACTCCTTACCGGATTCTTCGTGAGTTTCATAACGACAGCGGGAAACGGAAATCAAAGCTAGTACCCTTATGACGACAGGACAGTGTCCTCTGCGGTCCCTAATAGGAAACCTGGGAATGTATTCAAAACGCACGGAAAATTTTCAGATGAATAGCGGGAGTCGCGCTGGCAGCGTTTTCAACTGCCGTGAAGGGCGTGATCTTATTCTCGCTGCTACGAGATACTAAGGGAGCATTTTTGAACAGGATGAAAACGTAGCTTAGAAGAAGGCGAAGCAAGTCTCGGCAATGTAGTGTGGATTTCAGTGGATAAGACGTTGATTTTTTAGGAATGGTAGTCACAGGTTTGAATCCCAACAAAGATTATGAGTTTTCCTCACATTTCAGCGTTTTTGTGATTGTACTGATGTATTTGCAAATTCTTTCACACAGTTCGGATATTGTAAGTTTATAGAATATCCCAGCAATATTTCCATGAGAAACTTCCACGGTAACGCTAAATATAATATACCCGGAATTGATTCCTCGAAAGCAAAAGCGCGCGCTGTTTCAGCAAGACAACGCAAACCTCACACCGCAAAGAAGACCAAGAAAAAGTTTGATGAATCGAAAGGAGTCGAGCTCTGGTCGAACTCAGCCTACAGTCAAGATGATGATCCGTCAGATTATGGTCCGATTATCGGTCAATGGAGCATTTCCTATTCGAGCGCTGATTCGAGGTATTTGATCAAGTTGAAGAGACATGTGAGGGGTTTTTTAACTCAAAGCTTATGGAACGGTATCTCAAGCAAATTTGGAAGCTTACAAATCGTTGTCAGGAGGTCGTAGATAATGATGGTCTTTATTATGATGAATAACTCGTGTTGTTTTTGTTAGAATTTATGAATAAACTTTGATTTTTCAGTCGGTGTTGGGGAATTTTTTCTCTGCCTAACTTTTCATGAGGTTGTAAGAGCAAAGTAGTTATATTTTTACTGCCTCTTTTATAAAGGAAAAGGGCATATACACGAGTTTAATTTTTCCGCTGAGTAAAAACGCATCTATAAGCGATCGAACGTGTTCGGACACCACGCGTCATGAATCATTTTGGTTAGCAGTTACATTTTCAATGCATCTTCTGCGGTTGATGGCGCTTCTTGCCGTACTATCGGCGTTTTCGTTGATCGTCTACGAAGTTATTCAACAGAAAGAGCGATTTATTCAAATACTCAGCAATGTTACAATCCAAGGTGTATTTTTTTCCCGTCGACATCCTCTTGCCATATTAGATTTCAACGAAATTAAGTGTTGATTCAAAGATCATTGAGATAACACAGAAAAATTTGATTCAGATTATAATCTTCTAAACAACACTCACACAGCGTGGGTGAGAGAATACTACACGAAGCAAGCAGCCGATCGAATAATTCTCCTCAATAATTTGGGTGTTTCTGATATGTTCGGTGAATTCTACAACGTGATTGTGCCAGAGGTAAGTTGTAATACTCCAAAATTCCACAATGTTATGATGTTGCAACACCTAAGAGAATTAGTGGTGAGCAATGCCAGGACATAGGCGGGAATCGAACCCGCGTTTCATCCATACCGGTGACGTGTGCTGGCACCACTACACCACCAAAGCACATTTGCGCCACCACTCATTCTTCAACATCTCTATGTTAGCTATCGGCCACCAACCTCTTGGCAGGTTTGGTCATGTATGCGATTCCGCTTTATAACCCCACTTGAGCTGACAGCCATTGTGTTAAATGTGATACTCCGAAATTCTAATATTTTTACTGCTTTTTTTCGCAGTGTTATGACGTTATATATACACCTAAGAGAACTGAGTGATGAGCAAAGACAGAGGCAAAGTGGCAAACAGTTTAAGTCTAATGAATGGAGCTATTATTACCCTTGAAATCTGCTCGTTTATGACTATGCACTGGAAAAGCTTCAAGAGACAGTGTGTCAAAGTTTTCCTTCACTATTCATCAACCTTATTATGGCTTTATAGAGGTTAAAATGAAATGTTTTTCGATCTTATATGAAAAGTAATTGTTGAAGCTTTCATCACCTATTCGTTGATGTTTCACTCTTATGGGTCCGCTATACAAGACATGTTCTCTTACGTAAGTACGCTTGAGAAGAGCGTGCACGATGTTACATCTGATGAATTTCCTAAAAAACTTCTCGCCTTTACAAATTTTAGATTAAGTAGTGCATTTAAGAATCAGTGCTACAAATTTTGGCCAAAACTGCTAGAGAGAAGCACTGGTCAGGACTGGCTACTATATTTGAACTTGCAACAGAGTTCTTTGCTACATCACGATGAGGTTTTCAAGCAATTGCTGATCTGCATCCGTCCTTGCTATTGTAAAAGAGAGAACATGAGCTTCAGTAATCTTCGATCATTCTATCTAAGAGGGCTTTGCAAAAGGAGAAAAGGAAAAGATGCACAGAATCTTTAGCGGAGCGATGAAATCGGTAGAACATGTCGAGCTTGATAAGTTATTGTTTCTCTTAAGATGTGGGGTTATCTAGGCTCCTCCATTGAAAAATCCCCGGCCTGCTTATTGCGAGTCACATGGTGCGTTCCGAGAGGTTGATAGGAGGTAAAAAAAGATGAAAAGCTCGCGGCGTTGATCAATCACTGAGGGATGCGCCATGCATGTTTCTTCAATTTTTAACTTCGTTTGAGGTGATTGATGCATATCTGGTCTTTATAATGACCCGCGGGCCTTCCGCTAAGCCGAGTCAGTGCTGCCTATGCTCCCAGGCAAATCAGAGACCAGTCTGGTACCAATTTATCAACTCCGGAGAGGTGGATGACTTGGTGAGCCATGAGCGCGAGATTGAACCATTGATCTCGTGTGCGAAGCAGAGCACCTCTAACCACAGCGCCACATGCGGGGGTAAGCGCGGACCAAAAGCGACGTTTTTCTATGTTTTTATGAGACGCAGAGAGATCCGACAGATGAATTTCCTGTTTGAGCTGCAGCGATTTGGCGCATACATTCTTTGTTTAGTCAGACATGTGTATTCATGTGTACTGACTAATAGTGACTGATGGTGGTGACTAATGTTGTGCTTTCAACAAAATAGCTTTCAGGCGCGATGTCCTGATTTGGTCAGGCTGGGAAGAACTAATGATGGCGGAAAATACGTGTGCAATCCAAAGGCGTTTCCCAAGAAAAACTGCAGGTACGCTTCATATGAGGAAATGAAAAATGATGTGCCAAGTTCTAGAAAATGAACTCCTCATAGTGATCTCCAAGTGCAAGGTGAACTTCTTCTATAGTATACATTTGAAAAATATAAGAAGCTAGGTAATCTTAGTTCTGTACGTTGTCTTTCCTGCCATCTAGGCTACTAAACTGGCAAAGTAGACGACATGAGTTTAATAGAAAGCATTCGTGGGTGTTGCGTAAAAGAATTGCGATGTTGCTGCACACATTCTCTCTCCTATTGTAACTATTATAGTTAGGCATTCGTCCTCGATCACCGTGGGAAATGGCTAAAGCACACATCTTCAATACCGTACTCGTAATTTGAATAGCATATTTTAGCATTTATTCGTTTGGATTAGATAACGAAGTATCGTTCGATGTAGAGATTCAACAGATCACTGGATGCCAACTATATGGTTACGATTCCGTGGGTCTTCAACAAATTTTTCTGAAAAGAAATGTATAACAAAGCGTAAATTTACTTATAACTATTTTCATGGGGGCTTTTGGACAAATTCTAGTCTTTTGTACCGTCTCTATTAGAGTGGTGATGTTTTGTTGTGGCCCTCGTTGTTGGTAGAGATTCTTTCAGTTTTGCTAGAAAATGGGAGAAATTTACAGCAACAATAAAGAACCGTTCTGTGAAAAACTTTTAAAACCTTTTCAGTCGTGTACAAGTAATAAGGAACCATCGGTTACAAATTTCTTCTCGTTTTAGAGTTGTGTCTTTCGCATATGTCGATTAGCTCATGTATAATAATGGATAATTTAAGAATAAGCTGAACATCAATATATATGGTTTTTTTTTTGTGATACTGAAAGTACAGAACATGAGATTACTCGGGACTGGTATCAAAACCTTTATTCGGCAAACGTCTGAACGCATATTGCCTATTCCAAGGCTGATAATTCGAGTTCGCTGTCTACAATCGAGTCGACAACAAGGGTCCTGTATGGAAAGACACCGCGATGAGGTTACTTTATTCAAAGGGCTCTTTAGTGAAGGAAAACTTGGCTCAAACGACAGCAAAAGACTGCAACGGGAGAACGATCGACCGTGGACAATCGGCTCACTCACTGTCGAATCATCGGCTCTGAGAAGTCAGAGACGTCGGAAAGTTAGCCGACAGAAGTTTCACTACCAATCTCATGAATTCAATCATTTAAAAAAAACATGCTGATTTTTTTCTTTTAACTTTCTTTAAACTTCGATCGAAATCAGTTCCTAAGATAGTGAAAAAAGTTCTTTAATTTCACTAGTGGCGACGTACAATATTCTGTGACCTGTGCAAAAGGTTGCGATGTTTTGAGAGTACTGAGAATGTGGATCAGCTCGCCTAAATTGATCGGACCATAAGTGATTCTGTTATGTTTGTTGCATTTTTCTGGTTCTACTATTCATTATTTTGTTGCTAATTAGTAAACATTAGATCACTTGCCCCCATTTTCCTTTTCTATGCCTTCCCATACTTTTGGAATTTATTCAGTGCTTGTGTATGAGGAAGAACATATGTCCATCATTAGGTATGAGCGCATTAATCCATGAGAAAATGGTTTTCTTCCAAAAATTACGAGTGCATTATAGAGCTCTTTCTGAATGATGTCTGCTACAGCATCTGTGCCAGATAATGAGTTGAATGACTACAAAAGTACAACAACAATGCTCTGGGAGATGAAATAGAGGGTCGAAAAGAAAATGGTATATTTCGCGTTATCAGTCACAGTTCCAGAGCTCGTGGAAAAGCTTTCGGTGGTTTGAAGTCTGAGTAGTTATTCGATAAATTATATATCTAAAATATTGAAAATGTACTATATTTTCGCAACGGCTTTATTTATTGCGCTGTAACAGCAAAAATAAAATTGTTCCTTATCAAACTATTGTTTGTTCCTAAGTATCACACTCAACGCACCTCTCGGCTGACGTGTCGCCCCTTCTCATGGCCCACTGCGATTCCGTGTATCTGGAACTCAGAAGCTATACGAGGCGAAATTAGTTTTTATGTTGTAGTCAGCAATCAGTAGAGGCGCGATAAACTGTTTCCTTGAGACATGGCTCTAAACTACCTCTTTGATGCTTTCCATCTTGTCCGAAGAAAAGAAGCAGAACTTTGTACAAAGATTGTTCTCCAGCTTTACGCTAGAAGATCATATTCAAGATCGTTTGCATAGAGCATTTTTACTTTATTGTTAGCAATCGTTCGATAGCTTGAAAATTATAACTATAAATACTAAACTTTACACATGAAATGTCTTCTCAGTGTGTTGTTATAAATCAGAAGAAGATTACACTTTGCTCATGCCAGAGAGCTTGTTGTTTGAATTTCACAGTGAACTTTTTTCTGATTAATTTTGCACTAAATTTGGTTTTTCACTTTGTTGCGCGAAGGAAATAGCACTACTAGGGGTCTCCTATATAAGTAGTTTCATAGAACGAACACTCACTCGTTCTATAAGTCCCCATTTTGCTATACGATGGCTATATCTTTGGGATAACAGCGCAATCCCAGCTCTTATTTCACATTGACTTCAGCGACATTGTAAAGTGCAATATAGAAAATTTTTATCCACAGTGCACAACTTTTTGAATAAGTATGTAGTTGAAGTAAGCTTTGAGAGTGTCTGCAATAAACAATCAACTCTCAAATGTCAGCCATGTGTAGATTGTCGAGGATGATTGGCTCCTTACACCTGAGCATTACGTTGCCATGAACCCATTCCACCGTCATGAGAGTAGGATAAGATTCAAGGTGACGACATATTCTTTGAAGACCACTTTCTACGGTGAACCTCTAATGACAATGAATGCCGAGTGATCGATTAGTGAGCAGCATAAAACACGTTTCTGGATAAAGTGCACAATTTAATATGATTTTAGCTGATGCTCGCGACCTTCAGTTTGAAAATTATTCAGGCAAACTTCTCATAATTCGCAGAACTAGCAGCTATAAAACAATCGCAAAAAGTTTATTTGAGTGTTGTGTATACACTTGCATAATCCAATGTTCTGTAAGTGTACTATGGTATAATTGGTAATGAGCAGTCCGTACAAACTGACTGGCTTCTTACACTTGAGCAGTACGTCGTCTTGAACACCTACCCGTATCTCATCATAGGGTGTTCTCCCGAACGACAGCACTTGCCTTAAGAACTCATGTATCATTTCTCATCATTCGAACCAAATTTACCATAATTCGAACTAAATTTATCACCCAATGGTCACCAGCTGTGACGAATGTTCTGTTTTCCTTAGTGCTATCGGCTTCGTCACCAACACCCTATTGCCAGTGTTACCTGCAAAGTAGCCAAGCAGATTTTCACAGCCTCTCTAGGCAGGCATGGCAAAACCTTTCTTCCAAAAATTTTACCACAAATAGTATTTATCCCAATTGAATGCATGCTCACTGGAAGCACT